TGTCGATCATTCGATTTCATCCTGGACACTACAGAAAATGGGCTAAAAGTGTTAAAAACCGGAATTTTCCTTTAAGTGCAATGATAACCGAACTTTTACTTTGGCAAAAGTATAAGATCAGTTTTTATGCACTCAAATTCTTCATGTGCAGATTAGACTACATTGCATTTGTCTTGAATCTTTGTATATCTGATTATAGCTAAATAAAAAATTGACACAAATCCAAAGCCATGCTTTTTATTTTAGTTCAGTGTAAAAATGCACAAAATTGAGAGACTCCTGTTGTAACCAGCTGGTATTACATAAAAAGAATCATTAGTTTGTTTTATTCAACATCAAGCAATGAAAAACTTAAAGATACTTATTTGCATCAAAATTGATATAAAGTGACCCATCATATTCCACCAAAATGAGGCCATGGTCACCTGACTAGAATGAGTTACTGCTGGATATTTTTTTTCTCTCCTACCATGATGAGAAAATTTAGCAGCACAAAACCATCAGTCTCATGCATTTTCCCCGATAGTTGCAAACAGAGAATAACAAAATAATGAATTATGCCTGGCGGTGTCTCTACTGATACCATAAGGTAAGGTATTGATACTGATCTCTGATTGCATCTCCGAAAATGTCAGTAAAACTCTTTTATCTTCTAGAGAGAATTTGTAAACCTATTTGATGGTATAAGTTAATGCTATCTGCTCATGTATTTGTAGGGCTGAAATAGTCCAGTTTTACTATTTAGCGCTATGTTTTCTTGCCATATGGTTAAACATGTTCCAAACTGGTAATCCTTCATCAGAGATATGTTTGATGAAGTGATAAGCTGCTGATACAAAAAAATGGTCCCCTAAATCCCTAAACATAAACAAAAAAACATATATTTTGATATGTTGATGCACTTATCAGCTACCAATAGTATTCCATAACATCAAATCCTAATGATTGCAATATCTGAGCAGGTATTGCAGCAGTCATGTTGGCCTGGCACATAAGTGCAATTGAAATGATCTTTTTGTGTCGCACCTCTAAGCTAAAATGTCTCCCAAAGTTTCTACAGTCTGTGTTATTTTATTTAGATGTCTGATGGTTTTTACATTTGTAACAGGTGGTGAACTTGGCAAATATCAAGTATAAATAACAAATTAGGAGGAAAAGTCAGGATTAAGTTTAAGCCTTTTTAAATTTAGCAGAAATTTTCATTTGTCGTTGTTCTCGTTAACAGCTACTGGTTCCTTTGTGACATTATCTCTGTTTTTTTTAACAGTGCTGTCATATAATATCACTGTATCCTCAATCGCAGCTGTTATACCAACTTCCCACTCAACAAAAAGGGTTGAAATCTTGTTAGATACTGTACAACCTGTATTTTCTTCGTATTTATAAAAGATAGGGAGTATATTCAAAGGTATGCAAGACGCAACTTTTTTGTATCAGGAAAAATGCAGACTTTGGATACTTATCCACTAAAAAAATGTTTTCTGGCATGTACCTATTATATATTTTAATATTTTGAAGTAATCAATAAGCAATAGCAAAATATTTTTAATAAATGTAACAAAGTTAGAAATTTGTGGAAATTTGTGTGTATTATAGTACCACCGACCAAAAAAACTTCACAACCCAGTTGGATTACAAAAGCTCTTCGGAACAGCTCCAAATGACAGAAAACTAATATGGGTGAGTAGAACAAAATGTAATAACGTAAAATCAAGGGGCCAATGTAAAAAAAAAAACAGTGTTCCCCTTTAAGATAGATGGGGATAATCTCCTTGGGAACCTCTCTCAGTCTGTCTACACCACG